GAAGATTGTCAGGGCTGGCTGACTTGAAGGTATCCAGCTTCTCAAGATGTTCCTTCAGAAAGTCAGCATTAATGGAGGGCAGGGGATCACCCTCACCCGGACTTCCCGGCCCTGTAGCGGGCATGGGCGTCCCATGGGACTGATGAAAGACTGACGCAAAGTACCTATTTAATAGGTTGGCTTTTTCCTGGGCGTCAGTTGTCAGTTGCCCCATCTGGTTCAGAAGGGGTCCAATGTTGCCCCTGCTTTTCCTCCGGCTCCCCACATATCTGAAAAAGGACTTTTTATTGTCCTTGATGCTCAAAGCTAGTTGGAGTTCAGTTGCAGCCTTGGCTTTCCTGGTCTGCTCCGTACAGGACCGGACCAGTGCAGAATAATCCTCCTTGGAGGTGACTCCCATCCTCCATCCTTTGTAGGTCTTTCTTTTTAGCCTCAGGAGGTCTGCTAGGTCCCTGGAGAGCCAGGGGGGCTGCTGTGCCCTCTTGCTGCCTTTCCTCCGAGATGGAATAGACTTAGTTTGTGCATTGAGGATCGCTCCCTTGAGGAGCAACCACTCTTCTTGAACTCCCCTCTCCCTGTGGTCATGGTCCCTTAGGGCCTCACTGACAAGCCTCCTGAGCTTGTCAAAGTCGGCTTTCCTGAAGTCAAGGACTTCCGTGTTGCTGACTGACTTGCCAGCTTTTCAGCGGATGGTGAAGATGATCCTGATAAGGTTGAGTCTGAGTTAGAACCAGATAGTTAACTCTGTGTGCTGGTTTTCTTTTATTTAAATTTTGTGGCTGTAGGGAAGGTCTTTAGGCTATGCTAGGGGTTCTTCGTGAGATCAGCTTTGGTCAGCTGTGAGGGGCTGGGGACCAGGAACCCAGAGTCTGAGGCAGTGGACCTGGACTGAGGGGGTTCAGGCAGATAAAATCAACAAGGCTAGCAGTGCTGCAAAAGATTCTTAAATCCAAACTTGCATCAGATAAAACGCAGGCTAAAAGACCACATTACACCCATTTCAGAGCTTGTATCTAGTTCAAGTTAGGTGGCTGATGCCTCTGGATACCACTTTGTTTTGATCCAGGGTTACATGCAACTTTATTATTCATCAGTGTTTTAACTATTACCTTAGCAGAGCCCTACTGATTAAAAAAGGGAGGGAAATTTTCTCTCTGCCTTTGAGCTTCCATCTCTGGTTTATGGTAATCATTTCAGTTACATCTTTATTCATCGCAAAACTTATGCCTCTGGGCCAAGTTCTTCCTCAACTTACACCTCTTTCCCAATCTGTTTATTGGATTCATGAGTCCTGGAAAAAGAGGACTGAATGCAAAATAGCAAATACATAATACAAGCAGATAAAGTCACAAGTAAAGGAACCAAAGGCAAAAATCTTTTGACTGCTCAGAACTTTGGGCGCCTATACACATGCAGAGGCTGCTCTGATAGGTTGTAATTATGGCACATTGGAGCAGACTCAATTAATTCAATTCAGTTTTTTAATTCAATTAATTGAGTCTGCTGGAGCATGGTAATTACCGTGCGCTAGCAGATTCCAGCATAGCATGTATCAGTGTCCCTACGCTGAAAGATGGCAATGGGGGCGCATTAACTCAAAGTCAAAGCACCCCTCAGCCATGTTTCAGTGCGGAGACACTGATACATGTGACACTTTGGGTGCTTTAATTAGAGCCGCTCTGGGAGCCACTCTAAAGTGCTCCTGCCCCCCACCTCCCTCCTGGAGCACGTGTATAAATGCTCTTAGAGGCCTTACTCCAGTACTTCTTACAGTAAAATTAACATATCAGGCTGAATCCTGCTCTTTTACTCAAGCACAGAAGTTTACCTACAGTTTATACCGAATTCGTTTCCATCCATGCAATAAGAGAGAGGCGGATCTAGCAAGAAACTTGAGACCATCCTTCCTTTTATTTTCCCTTTATGTAAACTAGATTGCCTAGCATTACCGTACTCAGTGGCACAACTCACAGTATTGGCTCCTAGTTTAGGATTCCATCCTGATAATGTTCTTCACCCCCTTTGTGCCCCACTAATTTAGGAAACACTAGCTGTTCTATTATTACAGTGCTCCAAAATTCATCCTCTCGTTACCTCAGCAATAAGACACATTGGTAGCAATGTTACATAACTTTCTTTGCTGAAAAAAGTGACCAACATCAATCTAGGAACAAACATTTTGTGGTACTCATTAAAATTAAAGCTTTTACTCGCATTGAGCAAGCCTGAGAGACACTTACTGTTTACAGACTGCGCAACTGAAACATTATTAATGGAGGGGAAAAAAAGATGTGTTAGCAGAGCATTATAACTGATATCATTTCATAAAGAGGGAAAGTTTTTTCATTCTTACTTGAGCAAAACTCACAGAAATATCAATGGGAATTTTGCTTGAATGAGAACCACAGAACTAGGCCAACAAACCAGATGGAGAGAGTTCAGGGAGAGCAGCACAGCTAGCATATAAATAATAGAAAAGTCTGCAGGTATTTCTATGAGTCTCAGGTCTAACACAGGCAACATTATCATGTCATAAGCCTAGTAATTCCATGAACTATTGATTCCCTCCCCTCAAATTTTCAGTATTGTATACTTGTTCCCAAAACAGAGTATCCCATAGACACAGCTTAGAGATTTGGGAATAATCCAATTATGTGGTATTTAAAGATAATACCCTTTTTCTAAAAGCATTCTCTTATGCTATTTTATAAAGCAATATGCTACAAACTGCCTGGGTAAAAAAGCTTTCTATTCATTTCCAGTCCTCTTACCTTAGTAAAGGGAGTTGGTGAGAGAGAACAAAGTCTTAATACAAACGCTTGTGTTGCTAGAGAAGCAGAACAGACCGTGACTCTTGAGCATATACTGTATTGCTCCAAGACAGCTGCTTAAATATAGTAGGCAACCAGCTCTTGGTTTGAAGGAGGTGGGATTGAAACTGCTGTGGGAGGGACTAGGAAAATTACTCATAAGCATGATTCAGCAACCATGGCTAGGTTTTCCAGTTTATGAATGAATCATGCAGAGTAACTTACCCATACTCAGCTGATAGCATGAGGCAACACAAACACACTCAAAAGCAGCCTTAAGTGAACCAGGGTATGCAGGGCTCCAAACACCAAACTTCTATGGTTAATTTTTAGATTTAAAGATTTTTGTAGGCTGAGACTTTAGAACAATTTATTATAAGTTTTATTGTGTTTCTCTATAAATAAAACACAGCTGCCACAGTGATAATTACAATTAAGGCAGGCTGTAGCAGGATAGTGCAGTATGCATTCTTTAGCACTGAGGAACTTTTTGGACTATATAGAGTAAATGGTATTGCAATTGCAGCTGGCCAAAAATAAAAGGGAAACTTGCAACATCTTCCCTTATGATTGATATTTTGATTACAATTATATTTGTAAGAAATAGGCTGGTGTTTAGAACTGCTCAACTGTATTATAGGTCATGTACTTCCCATAGAAATTTACTTTTAGCTGAAGAAATAAACCCTTTCTCTGTTTTCTCCATTTGGGTCTTATTAGATATAGTTTTCTATGGCTATGAAGTCACTATGACTGTGATGTCACAAATAGCAATAGATCTGCTGCTGTATTAGATGGAGCAAAATGTAAGCACCTGATTTGTCTCTTTAAGGTCCCATTCTTTCTGGTCTGTACTAGACTATATATTAAAGATATCATACATTTTTAAATGACACGTTTGAAACAATATACTATTATAATAGGAAACCTTTTACAAAACAAGGTTAGTGTTACCTGTACCTTTGGGAAATTGTACTCAATATGACAAGGTCTTGTATTCCTGCAGAAAAGTCAGGAGACCAAAGCAGGAGTCTCAGTCAAATCAAATGGCTCAGTCTACAGGAGTAAGGCTATTAGGATTGGGTCTTTGCTGAATTCAAAGCATTCAAATAATTTGAAACCATAATGTTTCCAATTGAAGGAGGGAGCTTAGATGAAGATAGCTAGTCATCAGCACTTACTTCTTACTCTCTTAAGCAATTTTTTTCAAATCAAAGCTCTAGGAAATGAAAGAGAAATACTGACACTTGGTTAAGGGGCATATTTAAAAAAACTGATATGGGGAAAAATGTAAGACAAAAGCAGTTGATGAAATGAGATTTCTAGATTCTCCAGAAGCATCTCAAAGGATTTGGTGTACTCTATTTCAATTTCCCCAGAATCATATGTTTCATCTATATATGGAACCACTGATTCACTTAATAAAAAATATTGAACCAAATGATTCCTGTTGACTCATACTTTTGAATTAATGATTTTCAATACTTCTGTATCCACTGGCTTTGGAAACTTTCCAAAGTGGCTGGAACTCTGAGCATTGCCCAGTAATTATGTGTGAAAACTATTCTGATTCTTGGAGAAGAGTAAATAACTGAGACCTTTTCCTGCATTTTCACATCTATATTTTCTAACTCCTAATAAATCTCCCTATTCATAATCACCTAAAAGAAATGAAAGTTCTCAAAGAAACTGGCAGGATCATTTAGTTAGAACAACCTTATTTCAATAATTTATGTCAAAGTTTTATAAATGAAGATATTATCACTTAAAAACTCTTACCATATTACATTTCAGTTATATAAGAAAGTGTCATGACCCAAAGGCATGATTTTGTGTGTGCTTCGGCACCAGAATTATCCCCGCCAAGTTGCAGCTTCATTGCACAGGAGAGTTTCCTGTTGCAGAGGAAAACCCCGGTGCAGGGACGAGTTTCCCGCTTTTCTGCAGCTTCTTTTGCAGAGTGCATTGCTCGAGTTGCAAGAGGAATGCACGGTGCAAAAGAGTTCCCGCCACTGGTATGTAAATTCGTTCCCCGCTATTGGCTAGTTTTAAATTATTCCCACGTGGCAGCTAACGATTGGCCTGTTAGCCGTATAAAAGGCTTGAGCAGTTTCCTCCCAGGCCGAAGAGGACTCCACATCCATCTCGTGGGGACTCTGGATACACGGCAGGGTAATAGAAACCCTGTGTGAGATTCAGAGGAGCGTGGCGGC